CACAAGTCAGTTGGGACCCATGTTGCACGTGCGCACGTGCAGGGTGCCGCTCCCAGATCTCGAGAACGGCTGGGCCGATTGTGCTCAAATTTGGCACATCGCTAGAAACCGGTCAGTAGGGTGCCGTGCTAATGTCAGTTGGAGGTGCCCCCTCGAAATTTCGCACGTGCAAGACTCACCCCTTCGCTCGCTCCGTTAGTCGCCCCAAAAGGCGCTATACTGGTAATATTGATGCAAAATTACTTATGGCTACCTGTCCAGAATTGAATTGCACATCTCATCGTGCAAGCAATAAGAAAATCGGTTCACAACTGTTCTAGTAATAGCGGTGTAAAGTGAACATCCTGTCGCCGCGGCGACGCGGCGACTCGGCAGCCGGCGCCGACCGCTACGCGCCGCCTGAATTGTAGACTGTGCCGGGACGGAACGGAACGGTTCCGTCTTTACATCGCGCTCCTTACCGCTGATTACGTTCGATTCGCGTCAAATTTTGTGAGAAGACTAAGAAATGTACAGGCAATCTTATGGTGAAAGAATTCTGAAAATAGGTTGGTAAACAATTGAAATATGAACGTGTAAACACAAAATTGTGACTGCTGCGTTTCCCGCGTCGGCCGATCCCGCCTCAGCCGGCGACATGTTACTCTTAGCAGGACTCTAACTGCCATATTTATTATCGGATTAACTAGAAATTCCCCATACATACTCAAAAATGTATGTTCTTTCGTATAGTGAAGATCAAAAGACGTGAAGATACACTGGCGGTCGCAGCCGCTAGCAAAAGGGGGGGCCAAAGTCACACTCGCGGGACGTAACATTTATCCGTCACCGGGAGGGGGGGGGGGGGGGGTGATCGGCTAATTTTTTACGTCCACGAGGCGCCGCACAGTTGGCATTACTTATGTTTCATCCATTTCATTCTTGCGTGAAATCTTTGAGCTCAATCTAAGGCAAAATCACCAGTTCCATTTACCGTCTCACGGTGTGCCCACCGGTCGGGCCGCTGCACCATGACGACGGATCGGTGTAGCATAGGTATACTGGAAGGTCAGGCACGCGTATTCATGACCTTACCACTATAAAACAATTCGGAAAAGTACAGATACCTCTTGCTAAAAAGTACAGATACCTCTTGCTTTGAACAAGCATGTGAAACCCAGAGAGCATTTTTAGACTATTAGGTACCTAGTTGTGTGGCGGCGGGAGAGAGTAGGTACACCGACCTCTGGAGACCCCCACAGGTTCCGAGCTTTCAGAATTGGCATCTGAGGGCCGCGCACGACTCCTGCGGGGCTTCGCAACGGCTCTGTTGGGGCTCACTCAACCTGCCTGGTCCTACTGCTAAAAAGACTGGCCCTGAGCCCTAAGGACTTCATCAGTCTCTGCCAGCCCCAGGACCCACACCGGCTCATGGGGTCCCGACGTCGAAATATGAGGAAATCAGCGCGGGACCATCAGGACGTAAAGCAATCTCGATCAGGACCAACGTAAGGCTGTGCCGGAGACTGCGTGAGCCCTCTGATCTTCAGAAACCCACCCATGTATGCTTTCATGTAGAGGCCAGTTTAGGGCCCTCAGAGACCAGTACAGGGCCTGCAAACTACAAAGGCCAGTAGTTTGAGACCATCAGAGACCGAGTTGGGCTCTCAGAGGCTAATGTGGGTCCTTACTCATTACAGGCCAACATGGGCCCTCAGAGGTCAGCGTGGGGCCCTAAAAGACCGGCATGAGCCGTCGTTGGACCCCAGAGGCCAGCAGAGGGCCCTCAAAGGCCAAGATGGGCCCTCCTCAGAGGCCAATGCAGACCCTTAGAGGCCGGCATAGGGTCTTCAGCAGCCAGTGCGGGGCCCTTATAGTTATTGGCACCTAAAGGCTCGTCTTGGGACACCAGAGACAGAAATAAGGCCACCAGAGACCGGTGTGAGACCCTCAGACGCCGGTGGGACCCCTGAGGCCGGTTAGGGGCCCTCATAGGCCAGATGTGGGGCCTCAGAGGTTGATGTAGGCTCTTAGCGGTCAACGTGGGCGCTTGACCGCCACTGAAATTCCCTCAGAGGTCAGTGTAGGACGCTCAAAGACCGGTGTGGGAGCTATATTAATAGCTGGGCGTGTTTTTTTTTTTTTTAGCTTCGTGACGATCGAATAATTGCCAGGGCCCCATACACCTATATGGGGGCCCATTGGTTGTTTGAGGGGGGGCAAATGATATGATGGCCCCCTTTATTGACCTTTGGGGGCATGGCCCTGATGCCCCTCCCCCCGGCCCCCCGCGACCGCCACTGTGTACACATAACACACATGCCTCTGAGACCATCACCGGCATCGGGTCTTCAGCAGCCAGTGCGGGGCCCTTATAGTTTACTAGCTCATGCAAACTCTATGCAGGCCCCGGAGGTCCCACGCTAATCCTTAAGAAACCAAGCCGGCATACGGCGTCACCACCGGGCTTCTGAGGTGCACAGCACCAACCCATGAGGTCTTACTTTAGTGTCTTGGAGCCAATCTCCTTTAGCAGGGCCCACCCGCCACTGCCGAAGAGGGTCTCATGCCAGCCATTGCTGAATGCTGGGCCTACGAGAGCCTCAAGTAAACCCACGCTGATATTCCATATAAGATCCGGCCATACTCGTGAACCGGTGCCAGCGACGCTGACCGACAAATTGACAGAATGCGAAACTGAGCCCACTCATGAGTGAAATTTACGTCCCTTGATGGCGCAAGAAAGAAAATGAAACATACGAAAAGCTTTTCTATGACTTTTGTTCGATCTGAAAGGTGGGGCCAAAAGATAGTATGGCCCCACCTTTCAGCACCAAAGGGGGGGCCATGGCCCCCGTGGCCCCCCCCTGCGACCGCCAGTGTGAAGATATCGTTGCGTGATAATGTTTTCGTTGAATTTATTTCATGATGCATTTCCACACGGCTCAAAATTCACCGCAAAATACCGTTTGCCTGAGACACTTTTACAATGGAACGTGAATGCTTGACTACGATGACTATGCATTTCCATTCTCGCAGAGTTTGGGATGTCACTAATCAGCAATCATTCATTTCAGAAAGTGTACACAAGCAAGCATGTCTTGACTCTGTCTTTCAAGGTCACGCGCGGTTGCGTGATGTTGATGCATGAAAACGGCGTTTGTCGCGAAAGTTATGAATGGCCCACTCCAATTTTTTCACAGATGGTTAGGAACATTGTGACGGACATAATATGTAAAAATTACTCAAATCGAAGGTGGCGTGTTTTTTGCTATTTAAATTTTTCTGTTTTAATTCAAGGTCAAATGCATTTCAAGGTCACTTCAATTTAATTTTATAATTAAAAATCAAAGCCTTATGAATTGCCTACAAGACCCTGTTAATATCATTTTGATACCAGAAAAGGAACCAGAGTTATAAGCATTTAAAAAAATGATGTGTGGCATTTTTGGCTATATTCGATGACCTATATCTCGGCGATACGTTATCAAATTTCGAAAATATTACACGTAACTCAGTTTTGAACCATGCCCAGTCTGCCTACAAATTTTCAGAAAAATCGAAGGGGATGACGGATTTCGGTGTTTGATTTGACGTGGAATGCCCCGAGAGCAGCCACGGCGGGAGCGCCTGGCTGGGTATGCTGTGCCGCTTAGCACACCAGCCGCCGGCACAGTCTGCCTTCCAGGCGGCAGCACGTTAGGCGGCGGAGAGGATGTCGTGCTCAACACCAATGCTGGTCGCTTTTCGTTGTGTTCAATGTGTTCCTAGAGGACACTAAGAGATTTTCCCATTTTTGGATGATGGTTTCTATGCACAGCGTACAAAATTTATGGAATGCGGCATGTAGCAATTACATATCTGGCGAATAACGTGAAAATGAGATACGACCGGAGAACTTGCCAGTTATTTCGATTCGACTACATTGATTATCCAACTACACCCCTGGATATAGAGCTTCATCTTTTCTTTTCTTTTGAAAAAATGCGGACTTAGCGAGCATGACAAATCAGCGCAGAGTGTCCTCCCAATTTGACGATAGTAAGATAAGCAGCCCCGAAACACCCCGTCAGACCCGGGGGCAGTCCCCAGCAGTACCCAGCCGACCCAGGCAGCCCCCAAGCCGACCCCAAAACAGCCACCAGCCGACCCCCAGGCAGCCACCAGTCGACCCCCAGGCAGCCCCTAGCCCCGCCGGAATGGAGCTGTTTCCGGCCTGAAGTGAGCGCCTCCGCCGCGTGCGTGCGTGATTGTTGCGCGTCTGTCGGCCGACCCGACACGTGCCCTAGAGCGTCCCGCCGCCGCGGCTACAACAAAAGCCAGTCGGGCCGGGAGTGCCGCCCTCCGCCGCCGGCCGCCGCTGCGTCGTCGTTTGTTTTATTCTCGATTCGAGCCGGCCGGCGACTCCCTTTGCACGTGCACGGTAATGACGCGACCGTCACGTGACTGGTGAGTTCATCATGACGTCACGCGTGTGATGCCATCGGTCACGCAGGGAGCGGGACGCGGGTGGCTGGGAGCTCTGCGGGGGTCCCACGGGACGGTAGCGTCGGGACTGTGGTATGCGGGCCGGCCCTGCGCCCCCTGAGTGGCATTGTTGTGGGGTCCATGGCTGGATCGAGAGGGGACTTTGTGACGGCAGAGGCCGTGAATGCCGGTGTTGAAGTACTGAATGAGAGGAGCGACGTGCTTTGCTCATGTGTAGTTAGTGTCTACAGCCAGAAAGATAATGACATAACTCGTGCGCAAGATATGACTGCTGCAAGTCACAAGCTTGCTGCCTCCTCCTGAGAACTTCAGACGTACAAAAGTAGGCGTTTCGCGATTCCTCACATTGCAATACCGCAACATCGAAATATGGCTCACACTAAACCAACAAGCATCAACCAGAAGCATCCCCAGGCCACACAGGCCGCCGTGAGGGCCCACCGATCTATCGCTTGTCAGGGCTGCCACGGGCCCACCGCTCCTGACAGGTCGGCGTGCCTATCGGGTCAATGCTGGGACGGCACCATCACTGCTCACTGAATCAGCTGAGCGGCCATGCGTGTCTCGGCGACCCGGGGCGCCGCGTGTGGCGCGTGCGACTCCAGTAGCAGCCGCACAGGCGACGGCACGCCACCCGCCCTGCCCACCTGCCGGCCGCATCACCCGGGGGTAAAAGCGCAGTCACCTCGGCGGGGAGGGGAGCGGAGGAGCGGAGGGGCCGCTCTGGGCACGTGCCGCCGCTATTAGGGGGTCGGAGGAGCGGCGGCGGTGCACGGGACCGGCGCGCTGCCGTAGGCCGTCACTCAGCGGGGCGGGCTGGACTGACAGCAGGCCGAGAGGGGACAAACGGTGGTATTTACCAAGCTCAAGTGCCCGACATTGATCGCGTAATTGCTGCCAGTTATGGGCGTCACAGCAGGCAGCAGAATCACCAGAAAATGCCAGGTGACATGTGCTTCTGAAACATACCTGTTATACAGGCCAACATGTATGACTCACCCGTTTTTCCCATCTAGATATATGCTTCATGCGAGTTTATCGACGGCGATGTGTAGAATATCTATCGATATACATATACGCACGTATTCTTGCGGCCTATGTTGACTTAATACGGTACTCAACTCCTCATGTAAACCTGACTGTTAAGTTGTTAACGACTGATATTTTCGGGTGCATTGAGCGGTCGGGAGGAGAACTGGACAGAAAAAATACAATGTACTGCAGTGGTGTGCACAAGCACGAAGCCTGCTTTGCGGCACCAACTAGATAACTGCATAAATGGGGATGCCGGAAGTAAAAGGAGACACTGTGCACCGATGATCGGAGAGGATGAGTAAATTAGTTTCATCGCGATCGCGAAACGCATTTCCGTTCTTCGAAATTAATGCCTCTGAATAGCAGGTAGTCTTGCAGCCAAAGTCTACCACCACTGCAAGCGATTGCGTTCTGCATCCAGCCTTGAAATGTGAAGGCGAGGAGACCGTTCAATTTTTACAGCAGCTATACCATGAAGTAAAAGAAAGATCAGTGCCGTAAAATAAGTACAAAAGCCATTACCTTTGACACATTGGCCTCGGATATCGTGCAATGGACGTTAGGCGGCACGGGCGGACATCTATAGCAGCGCCCCTATCGGTCACTAGGGAAAGCTGGGCTGTAGGCGACGAAATACCGGCTGAGTTGTTACAAGTTAAATTGGTTTATAGACATCCGTCTTGTGAAAAAGTTGAACTTTTGCCTTCAATATTTCTACAGGCAATTTTAGAAGTGCCTTCACATAGATTACAAAACCGTTTAAATTATTTTATTCACTTCAAGCCTTCCCTATTGTTCTTGATGATGCGGGAACTATTTCTAATTAGTGTTTCTAGCTTAGTAAAAGAACATATTGTGCAAACGATGAAAAAAGCATAAATGGAAGACTTTAAATGCAATTTTCTGTAACAAATAATGGTAAATTCTCTACACATCAAGGTAAAGGTGCATGCTAACTGATAATTTAAAGTTCTTGGGGCCAGTTGGTTTCTTCTTTTCTCACGTCGCCCCAATGGCCGCGAATACACTTTTGATAACGCCTATCGACGCATTCACAGGCCATAATCGCACTCATGCTGTTCAAAACCAGCAAGTGTAAGCACCATGCTGTGCAACAAAAGCACCGCATATAAAACGGCGCATTGGCTGCCACCAACAATTGGCACGTTCACGCGTCTTCTGCAACAAATCAACATTCATGTGTTTTATGACAGTCTACCCAGCACCCCAACTTGCATAAACACTGAACACGCTAAGCCCTTGTGTGTCCTTCTTCCACTCTCTTTTTCCTCTCTTCTTCTATATGTAGAAGCCTCTCCACTCTGCCGCGTCGCGTCGACTCGTAACGGCCGGTATCGCTGTCGGCGCCGTCACGCCTCCCGCCAAACTGTTGCCGCCGAGCGTGAATTATGGCGCGAACATGGCGCGCCAACTTGTCGGATTGAGACAAAGCGGCGCGTCGTGGCGGCCCAGGGCGGACGTGGGCTACTGTCAGGCCGCCACTGGGCGCTAATATACGGGACAGAGCGGTGCCAAATGGCTGCCCGAGCCCGCCGACCCGCCGACCGCTCAGTGGGGCCGGGTCGGGGAACGGGGGAAGGGAGAATGATATCGGGAAAATCGGCAGCGCGACGCAGGGAGAAACTGAATGCGCAATATCGTACGGACGTTAAACTGGGATTAGAAGACACAATAGCCGTTTTCACGACGGGCTATCCGGCGAGTGCACCTGATTGAACCTGATTTGACCAAATCTGCACCTAATTTCTTTTACAGCAAATATCTTTATTTTATGAATTTATTTCAGTGTTTTAATCGATGATACTCACTGATAATATGACAAAGCAGGCATATAACCAAATAGCACAACCCTAGCTGATAGCTACTAAGAGACACACTGAACCTGATTTGACCAAATCTGCACCTGTCTGCACCAGATGTGCACCAAATGTGTACCAGATGGCCGTCGTGAAAACGGCTGATGACATTTTTCGTATTGAAGGAAGAAAAACGATAAGCTGATGTAGGCGTGTTGCAGCCAGTTGGTGCAATTTGCGGCAATCATCCTATTGCGGTGACGCGTATGCTACATATATGGGCGAGTTAAGGACTCTTCTGAAATCCAAATAAGATAATGTATTACATATACGATATCGGCGACGAAAGCCATTACTTTCGCACTCTGTTAGTTTCAGCAACTGGAATAACTGCCTGAATGTGAAGTTAATAAAGCGCACGAGAAAAATTAAAGCATAAGCTGAGTGGTACCAAATATCATGAATCGTGAACAAATAAAATGAAGGAAAATGTAACACGAGACGTTCCTTATCGCCTCTACAATCTACATGGCTGTCCATCATTCCAGAAAGGACCACCATTTCATTTAACGCGTCGATAAGATCGTTGAGGTCAGCCAAGTGATCGGCAAACCTCAAATCATCAACACTACGCCGACTTTGCCGCGAGTTCCGGCGCTGCGGCGCAGCACGTCTTCGATGCGCCACAATCGGTGTAAATCAGCTGCGCTAACGACGACGGGTTCCGGCCGTCGGTCATCGTAAAATGGCGGCCGTTTTTAATCTATTGGCGCCGGTAATGACCTGATCACGTGGAAGAGACAAATCGCCAGCGTGGAAAGACGGTATGCATACTCTGGTGATATGGATTATTGATTTTATGCTTTGTCATTAAGCTATTTTTGAAAATAGCTATATTTTCAAGAGAAATATGTAGAAGATGTAATATGTATGTAAATATGTAGAAGAAATCTTCATATTTATTTTTTGAAAATATACCTATTCTATGCCGAAACCTTAAAATGCATACTTAAATTGAATTTTCAGGAGAGACAAAGCTTGTCAATCATGTTCTCATACCAGAAATTAAAGTCGCCATTTCCAAATACTTCTTAAAACAAACGGGGACCAAAGGAAACGACAAGGCCTTAGCCTCGCTGGAATAACGTTTCACCTCACTCACGATTTTAAGCCAGCACTCAGGAAGTGTGCACAACCGCGCTAACCGGACTGGCAGACATTTCTGCTCCTTTATGTGGCCACATTGACCCAACTCTCTCGACTCACGCAGGGCGGCACGGCGCACTCGCAGGAAATGGTTCTCCCTGGATGATGTACGGTGCCAACAAATATACCCCAGGCACATAACGGCAGTGATCTATGATTGCTAATTGGGGCATGTACAGACCGGATTTGCATAAGGTCACCGCTGTACTATTAGCGGGAACTATAAATTACTGCACTTTTCAATGGACTCAGGTGCCGGGCGCGGAGCCGGCATTAACACGCCGCCGGTTCGACTGAATTCCGCCACTTTCACAGGTTCTAGGACCCGATGAGTGCAATTAGCGGCGGCCGATCCAAATGGCGTCCAGCCATTAAGACGGCAATCAGCTCGTCTCAAAGCCCTTGGCTGAAAGCCCGCTTTATGCTCCCTCGAAGTCCTTTGTGCGCCCGGTGCGGGTGGGGGCGGCCGGTACTCACCTGAGATCCGCTTGTCCTGGTCGGCGGCGTCCCTCTGCGGCGGGCCGCTCGGCTGGAGGGGGTCCCTGCTGAGGTACAGTCCCGGACTGAAGTAGGCCGCCGCTCTGTCCCGGCCCAGCTCCGCCGCCGGCACCTTGACCCTCTCCACGCCTCCCTTGATGGTGTCGAAGGGCGCGGCGGCGGCGCCCCAGCTGGGCAGCCGGTAGCCGCAGCCGGCCGGCCACTCCACGGCGCCGGAGGAGGTCAGCTCCTCCTTGATGTTGTGGGAGGAGGAGCTGAGCCGGCCGGACATGAGCTGGCCGCGCTTCAGGTCCAGCGGGCCGGCCGTCCCCAGGTCCGAGCAGCTGCCACCCTCGTACATCGCCTGACGGGAGGAGAACAGAGGTCTGAGGCTGCTGGTTCCATAGGCGGCCGAACGGGGAGGGCACCGGGGCACCGTGCGCCCCTTTGATTTTGGCATTGCATGGAAAGAATGGGACCAAAAGTCGGCAGTGCCCCCCTTAATTGAGGGTGTTCCGCCGCTACTGTGCTGGTCCGTTCATAAGCACGATACCTACCTATAATCATAGATAACATGAATGCTATGATACATAGCAAATGGCATGCCATAGACAATTACACATGATGCACGTTTGAACAACTAGTTCTCAACAACATTGTGCTTGATATCGGCGCATAGAATGCATTAGGTTTGTAACAATTACAACCAGTATAACGCCTTTTGGGGCGACTAACGGAGCGAGCGAGAGGGTGGGCCTTGCACGTGCGAAATTTCGAGGGGGTACCTCCAACTGACTTGTGCACGGCACCCTACTAACCGGTCTCTAGCGATGTGCCAAATTTGAGCACAATCGGCCCAGCCGTTCTCGAGATCTGGGAGCGGCACCCTGCACGTGCGCACGTGCAGAAAGGGTCCCAACTGACTTGTGCACGGCACCCTACTAACTGGTCCCTAACCGTGTACCAAATTTGAGCGCCATCGGTCCAGCCGTTTTCGAGATCTGGAGACGACCCCTGCACGTGCGCACGTGCAGCAGCACCCCAACTCTGGCACATGGATATGCAGTGCCTAGTGGGTGCCTACCTACATGCCAACTTTCAGCGCAATCGGCCAAGTAGTTACCGAGATATTGCAACAATTACAAAACTGACACCTCTTCGTTTTGCACGTGGCACGTGCATAAGGGGTCACCCACATGCATCGGGAATAGTCCAATACTTGGTAGAAGGAATGAAGCTACCCTACAAAAATTACCGCGTGTAAATCGGTCAAGTGGTTGCTGAGATATAAGCTTCGCAAAAGCGTCCGCAGGCCCTCATACTCAGAAATTTCCGTTAATCTAAGGAAAGACTACGCTCGCTTCGCTCGCTCCGTAACAATTTGCAGGTAAGAGAGCCATCAAATATGCCAAACCCAACGCTCAACACCTGAAAATTCAAGATCCATGTCCCAAAAATTGTTGATACAGCAGTGCAAAAATAGACAGAAACGTAGACTGATAACAAAATGTAAATTGCCTGCCAAAACGAAGTAAATATTCATCTACAGACTTGTGATGTCCCTCAACGCGTTGAGGGACAAATCCTGAAAATCCTGCGGATCCCTTTTGTGTTTCGTTGCGTGACAACTAACCTTCGTGTTTACCTTATGGGTGATTAAAATGTTCCAGAACTTGTAACCTTTGCATAAACTTAGCGGAGGAACAATAAACCATCATTAGTGTATAGAGAAACCACATTAGACCATGCATTATGCTCTAGGACAACCTGTACACACGTGTAATAGGAGCACCTAACGCGACGCTCTGGGTATGTAATGTAAATTGTCTTGTAAACAGTAGAGCAAGAGACGATTTATGCTCGAATTCGCATCCGAAAGGCGCTGGAATGGGCAACAATGTGGTGGTTTATACAAAATGCAGCGTAAACTAGATCTTATGGTGCACTTGAAAAATTTACCAGACGTTCAAAAATAATATGTCAGACGTTCATCATACACATACCAGCTACACAGTACACATGTGGTCTCGTTTGTTCTAATATGTTACATTCATTCTAGCCCTTATTGGTGACTGGTGTGTGCACACTTGGCATCAAATAGAGCACGCCAATACGTTCGAGATTATACTTTATTGAAGAACGTGTATCGCTTGTGTATGCTTTGCTGTTGCTTAGATTTCTACATGTTTATATCTTTAAACGATCTTTTTTAAATATTACCAAACTATTGTCCCATGAAGGCTGTTGACGTTCGGCCAAGTTTGTGACCAAGCTAGATTTGGCGAAGTGCTGTATTGAACATTGAAGTTATTAATCCGCGCCGTGCTGGGGGGGGGGGTGCCCCCTCCAGGTATTCGCGAATATCTTAAAAAACGGCGACGCGCAGTGTCGCCATGTTTGACACACCTTATAATGCATCGTTTCTCCACATATTGTGAAAATTTCAGACTCGGGTCATTGAAGGTCAGGTCACCAGGTCACGTAGAGGTACTCACCTTACCTCAGAAAAGGTTCCAATGCTCGCTATAGCTACACCGACTGAACAATCCCTCCATGAAACTGTTTGAAAATGCGATTGATAAGAGTACCAGTATGCGTAATGTGAATTTCTCGGAATTTCGATATCTGTGACCTAAGGTGAGGTCAATTTTGTGACCTCTCCATTCGTAAAAAATTGAAATGCACCTCTTTCGGACGAACGACGTTCTAAACACTCTCATCAAACATTGGTTTACAGGTAAGCATGACAATATGACATAAGCTACGTTTCCATGGCACAAGCTAAGCCGATTTTGAGGCTGGGGGGATCCGTGCTATCGTAAGTTATATCGGACGTGGCTGCGAAACTTCTCTCGGTACGAAACTTCTCTTGATCGGAAGAAAATCGGAGGGATGAAAAAGAAAGAGCGGCAAATCGGAGCTACGTTGTACGTAAGTTGTTTCGCAGCGTTTAAATGCCAGTTTTACTACGATTTAAATGCCAAGCAGATCAGCTGACCTCGTAGTACCATGTCGATAAGGTCGAATTCCCCATACGTCTATAGTGTAAAAGTGACCCCTATTGCAAATGGGCTGTCAGGGACATCTCCTCCTCTGTAAATTTGGAGGGATCATGTGTCGGCATTCCCACGTTCGTTTCGGAGTCCATCTGTTCCATTTGGAGCCCGTCAGTTGGCGTCAAGAGTTGGCGCAGCGAGCGCCCCGAAGACTGCGTCTGCGCACGAGGCTTCGCGATGGAGGAGTATTTTGACGAAATCGCCCTCGCTGCAGAAAAAATAGAGGGACTTGTTGAGAAAGAGGAGGCCGCAGTGTGCCGACGACTTTAAACTGTACGCCAACGCCAAGACCAAGGCAATCAGGGGGCGCTCAGATGATCGGGAGGTTTCAATTGATCAGGGACCCACCAGGTGACCAGGGAACCCTCTGATAACCAGGGGTCCTTCCAGTAACCAGGGACTCCTTCAATAACCAGGGGCCCCTCAGTAAACGTGGGCCACTCAGGTTACTGCAAGAGACAGGAGTCCCTTATAACCAGGGACCGGCAAGGTCTCTCAGGTCCGTTTTTGACAAAGCTGTTATTGATGTCATATGCGAGCCCTTTGCCACCAGCAGAGGGCCCTTTCAAGCCTTTTTAGGGCCGTTTAACGTCTCTTGAGTTTCCTTTGAGGCTAAGGGCCTCTTCAGCAGCCGAGGGGTCTTTGAGGCCTTTTTGAGGGCCTCTTAACGTCAGCTGAGGACCGTTGGACGCCATCTGAGGACCGTTTGGGGCCTTCTGATGGCCAGTAGATGCCAACTGAGGGCTCTCTGACACCAGCTGAGGGCACGCTGACACCAACTGGGGGCCTCCTGACACCAGTTAAGGGCGCTTTTATATTTGACACGAGCTCAGGGCCCTTTGACGCCCTTTGAGACCTTCTGAGGTCCGTTTGACGCCAGCATAGGACCCTTTGGGGTCATATGAGGGCCCTTTGCTGCCTTCTAAGCGGCCTTTGAGGCTTTTTGAGGGCCGCTTGACGCCACCTGAGGACCGTTGCGGTTGGACTCCAGTTACGGACCGTTTGAGGCCTTCTGATGGCCATTTTGCGCCAACTGAGGGCCGGGGGCCCTCTGACACTAGCTGGGGGCCCTCTGACACCAGATAAGGGCCCTTTAAGGCCTTCTGAAGTCCGGTTAACGCTAGCGGAGGGACTTTTGAGGCCAAATGAGGGCCCTTTAAGACCTTATAAGGGCTCCTTGAGGCTTTTGAGGGCCGCGTGACGGCATCTGAGGACCGTTGTACTCCAGCTGACAACCGTTTGAGGCCTTCAGATGGACTTTTGGCGCCAGCTGAGGAGGGCTCACTGACACCAGCTGGGGGCCCTCTGACACAAGCTAAGGACTCTTTAAGGCCTTCGGAGGGTCGTTTGACGCGAGCTCAGGGCCCTCTGACGCAGGTTTAGGGCCCTTTGACGCCCTTTAAGGTCTTCTGAGGTAGGTTTAACGTTGGCTGAGAGCCCTTTGAACCCATCTGAGGGCCCTTTGAGGCCATCTTGTGGCCCTTCATTTGGCCATCTGAGGGTCCTTTGACACCAGATGAGGGCCATTTGACGCTAACCGAGGGCCCTTCGAGACCATCTGAGGACCCGGTGACCCCATCTGTGGGCCCTTTGAGGTCTTTTGAGGGCCATTGAAATTTCACCACAATACCCCTGGCTGCGCTACTGGGCATTTATGGACTCGTATGGGCCTGCTGGGAACGAGATGGGCCCTCCCGGTCTTTTTAATCATTATTTCAGTTCATTTTACATGGTCTTCGGCGGTCTAAAGATTAGGGGCCCCAACTCGAATGGGGGGGGGGGGAGGCCCGTGTGCCCTCTCCTGTGTGCGGCCTTGCAGACACTACACCGCTTCCCCTCCCTCCGCCATAAACGCACCGCTGCACTGCACTGCTAGGCGCCGACAAATACGGACCGGCGCCGCAACCGGCTCCCCCGCGGCCTGCCTCGCGTTGACATAGCCCTTCCCGAACACCAGTGTAACCCCCACGCGGCCTAGGTATCGCCGCGCCCACCTGTCCGCGGCGCGGCCTCTGATGGCGTATCGGATCATTGATGGTGCGATACATGTTTTGGTCAGATTTTCGCAATTAACGCGAAAAATTGCCCAAAACACTTTTTAAATTTCAAAATTGAAAAAAAAATAATTACAAAAATGACGTGAAAGTGACCGTTTTCAACGTGTAAATTTAAAACGCTCTAGCGCAGCCATTTTTGAAGAAATCGACTTCAAATTTTGCACACGTGTTCATCAACCATATTTGTTTAACATATATTTCGGTTTTGTGAAAATTTTGAAAATTTCTTATATTTTTCTCTTGAGAAAGAGGTAAAGCTTCGCTACGATCGGCCTTCCGATCGACCGAGAAGATTCGTAAAGTTAGTTCGTATCTTCACCATTTGCGATACAACTTGCGTATCTACTTAGCCTACGATGTGATGGATCCCTCCAATATCTGTTCCGATTCAACTTACGTTTGATCGCAACTGCGAGGTGCCTTGCGATCACATGGATCCCCCCAGCCTCAGGCTGAAAAATGGATTTGCTCTATCATAGCAATTAGCCATAATTTAGAAATGTTTACGAGCGAGTGAGCGAGCGCAGCGAGCGAAGCGAAGTCTTTTCAATATAACGGAAAAATCTCAGTATGAGCGGCCCGGCCTGTAACGCTTTTGAGAGGCTTATATCTCAGCAACCGCTGGACCGAATGGCCTGCGGTCTTTTTTGCTGGGTAGCCCCATCCCTTCTACCCCGTAATTGACTACTTTTGATACATCTCATTGACCGTCGTGGCACGTGCCACGTGAAAAGTCGAGGGTGTTCAAGCAGTTTTGCAAAAGTAATGATTTTGAGAGGCCCATATCTCAGCAGCGGCTTGAGCGATTGTCTTGCGGTCATTTTTATAGGGTAGCTGCATCCCTTCTTCCAAAGGTCGGATACTCTTTATCTATGTGAGTGACCCCCACTGCACGTGCAAAATACAACAATAAGAGGTGCCAAATTTGTTCCCATTTCAGTAACTCGGTATTTACTGGGGCGATTTCGCTGAAACTTGGCATACAGGTAGGCACCCACCAGGCAATGCATTCCCATGTGTTGCGGTTAGGGTGCTACTGCATGTGCGCACGTGCAGGGGGCGTTTCCAGATCTCGAGAACGGCTGGGCCGATTGCGCTCAAATTTGGTACACGGTTGGGGACCGGTTAGTACGGTGCCCTGCAAAAGTCATTTTGGACCCCGTTTGCACGTGCGCACGTGCAGAATGCCGCTTCCAGATCTCAGGAACGGCTGGGCCGATTGCGTTCAAATTTGGCACACCGCTAGCGACCGGTTAGAAGGGTGCTTTGCACAAGCCTGTTGTAAGTACCCTCTCGCCCTTCTGCACGTGCAGGGCTCACTATCTCGCTCGCTCGTTCTTCGCCCAAAAGGCGTTTTACTGGTAATATAGGATTAGGTGCTAGCTAAAATCATATATACGTTCATTTTTTTTGCATAAGGTAAATAGTTTTCGAGGAAAACGCACGTGAAATTTCGCTAAATCGATTTAGACGCGTCATGGAAACGTAGTGATACTGAATCGGAAACTTGCACCCACCCGTGACCCCTCTTTGTGTCCCTAAGGTCACCTCAGGTCATGAAAGGTCCCAGCATTTTTTACAATAACTTTTGATAGAGAAATACTAGAGCGGTGAAAACAACTCAGATGCATTCAGCTCTACGATGCGAATCGACTGATAAGCAGCATGAGCTTGTCCGGTCAGGTCACGACCCTGACCTTAGGTCAAATTTTCAAAATGACCTTGTAAGGTCAAACTATAGTTCACTCAACGCGACTCGACGAGAGGAACACGATGCTAGGTAATGTTGCGACTCGCGACTTTCTTATGTCAAAAGTTATTGCAGAAAAAACATTTCTCGTAAAAACGGATATCTTTTTAGAGTTCTTACCCTCTGGAGTTGACCTTAGGTCAAATTTGAGATCACATTTCAGAAAGAGCGGAAGAATAGCTACCGAATGCGCCTTTCCGCGGCGCTATAGCTGTATTGACCCCCGAGTTATGCGCCGACTTATCAAGAATTGTTAAAATTTGCAAACTTTGACCTTGGATGACCTTTGATCTTTGAACTAACCTAAGAAATGACTAATGTTTTCTTCATTATTTTTGACACTCTTTCAAATGCCGCTTACCGCGCGTCACTACGTGGCCCAGGAGCCGAGTTTGACAGGGAGGGGGGTTGTGACCTCCCCACCCCCAGCACGATACGGAAAATTCTGACCACGCCGTAAGTTGAGATAATTATTTTTGTTAAATGCCCCTGCTCATGAGCCCAGGCTGTGGCATATAAAAAATAATATTCCTATAGCTACTTTCTACATTATATACTCCTACATACGTATCAGGCAGCCAACAGACTGGAAAAGGACTGCTATTGAATGTCTGTGAGTGCGGAGTCTTTATGTTCTCGTCGGAGTCAGATTCGGAGTTAGAGTCGCAGAATCCACAACAAGGCTCAAGACTCTGGAGTCGTAATGCTATTTAGCCATGACTCACATTTTTAGAAGAGTGCCCGGAATGGCGGACTTTGAGGAACTCACAGTTGATCTTTTCCACGTCGGAATCGGTGTTACCAAAACAGTTAGCTCTGTGGCCCTGTTCTGTTCAGAGAATCACCAATTATGTTAAATTATTAATATGTGACCGTGCATCTCCAGAAAAATAAGGAAGAACAACTCTACCATCGCTCAGAAGAAGAAAGAATTTGATGCTGGCGTGATAAAACATTAAAAAAAATAATAATGTGCACAATATAGGTACATTTTTTATCCAGGCATGCCCTTCTCAAGATAGCACGGGAATGCCGGCAGCTTCGGGCAGCTTCACTGTTTCCCACAAGGCTAGGTCTCCACGCATGCTTTTCACGATGAGCAGCCTGCGCAGATATAAATCAATTTGCGTCTTCTAAACATATTGGTTAATAAAGGACTTTCAAAACCACATTAATCAAGTACAGTGATGTTGTTAGCGATTTTTGGGAAGGGTAAAACATCATTATTGAAAAAGCAAGTTTCGAAGTGTGGAAAAGTCAAAATATGGAAGCTAATAATTATTGAGCGATATGCAGTATTATTGCTTGTGTTTCAATAAATGAAGTATTTCAGTATCAAGTTATCATTTTATCATACCACATTATGATACTTGAAATGGCAACTACACTAACCAATCTACGAGTGATCTTTAATGTTCAAACCATACTGAAGGCTGTGCAGTGTGCAAGCGAGCAGCCTAAGCATATAGAACAAAATGACCTTTGCCTATCCATAACCCTCGCCTAACCATAACATCACAGATGACTGCGTGACCTCGGGGCAGTGACCTTCCTCCCGGTAATGGTCAGGTGAGCACATCGACTCACGCACATTATCGGCAGGTGACACACGCACGGCCGGACAGGCGGAGGGTGGCAGCCGAGGGGCAGACGACTGTCACAGGCCGTCACGTGCGCTTCTTTGCTAGCTTCCGCAGTCGAGGAAGCGGCCCGGAAGCGGCCGACCGGTCCGGAAGGTCGCCGCCCCGGCCCGGAGCCGGAGGGTTTACAGCCGCCGCCGTCCCCCGGCCAGGATACAGGCGCGGAAATGAGTTTTTCCATGGAGTCCGGCCCGGTGCGGAGCCGGAAGGGTGGCCCCGTGAGGGGAAGGTGCGGCACGGGTGGCTCGCCGCACCTGCAGTGGCAGGGCGGCGGCCGCGCGCGACTCACCTCCGTCGCTGAGACTGCGGGCAGGTCGGGTCTCCGGTCGTTTCTGGACGCTCCCTGCCGTTACGCGGCACTGCCACCGACGCAATGGCCGATCGTATTTCAAACCAAATAGCCGCCGGCCGAGGTCCGAAACCAATAATTGAATAACATAAATTCCTGACGTCCAACTTGTGTGCTTAAGTCCACTTCTTTCATTACGCGGAGGAAATGGTCGCGGAAGTGGGAGATAGCCGGCGCAAACCCAGGCCGAGCCGGGGGGCGTGGCTTCGGCGCGCCGCTCCACCAATCGCCGGCTAATGAGGCCGTAATTAGGCCGGGGGCGGCCCCCGACGCGCGCGCCAGCCAATGGGCGGCGTCGGCCGACCGCCGGCGCTGGGCCATATTGACGCGTCGGCGGCCGGCGGCCAGAGGCACGGATCATTGCCGCCAGAGGGATGGCCATCTCGGCTCGGAGAGGGACGGCGGGAGGGCAGGAGGGCAGAGGGAGGGTCAGATCGGCTCCGAGAGGGACGGCAGGGAGGACAGGGAGGGCAGAGGGAGGGTCAGTTCGGCTCGGAGAGGGACGGCGGGAGGGCAGGGGCGCAGAGGGACGGCAGGGTAGCAGGGGAGGGTCATCTTGTCTCTCGGTCCCGAGGGGGACGGCGGGAGGGCAGGAAGATGCCGGAGACGGGGGGACGACATAGGGATGACCATCTCGGCAAACGAGAGGGACGACACACACAGACGGGGAGGTTCCTATGAGTTCCACATGTGACCAAGGAAGGGTAGGGACGTAGCAGTGTCAGCCGACCCGAGCCTGAGTAAGGTCGGCTAGACTTGTTCGAACTCTAACAAGACAGAAAGATGAACTAAAGCACTAGTCCTGCTGACCGGTCAAGATGAGCTCGGTACCATAGGTGTCTTACAGGAAGCACCAGTTGCAGTGGCATGCAACCCGCTTATCCATTTCTTTTCATCGCCAAATAAAAGATTTACTACCAACGTGCAGTGTGCTAAGGTGAAGTAAGCCTGTTGCACGCAGGTATAAATATTAAACAAAATGCTGCAAAATCAATGGAGTTGAATGCAAGCGTTAGGATAAGGTGCACTGCACAACACACAGTTGACAAATGAGCATTCGGATCTTAGCTCTAGGTAATTAACCCTCGCCGGCCGAGGGGGGGGCGGGTGCCGCCCCCCCCATAGGGTTTTTTCGCGATAGCTCCAAACACGCTGGCGATAGAGAGCTGAAACTTGGCATACCTGACCTTTGATCCAAGCCGGATCTTTCGACACCAACCGCATTTTTAGGTCAGGTCAGGTCACTGACCTATGACGTCATAAGTGAACCTCTGCACGGTCTTCAGATGTCGCAACTTCGCAACGCCCTCACTGCCAGAGGAGATGTCACAGGGAAATGAAACTTGCAGGATCTAGTATCCATTATGAGTCCCACAACTTGTATATCTCGGATTTTTCCTAAAGGTCATATGAGGTCAGGTCATTTTCGTGACCTCACCATTATAAGTCAATGGGGAAAAATTCAAACTGCGATTCTGGCGCCGGGAACGATCTCCAACTATCTCAAGCACACAGAATCGTGATTTGATGCACTCCTTGCAAGGTTAGATGCGTCACTTTTGCAATGTTGACCTTGCGTGACGTCATTTATGACGTCATCAAGGTCAAATTAGTTTTTCGTCAATAACTCTTGATCAAATTGAGCTAGCGAGTCGGGAAAGGCACCAATGGACTCAGGAAGGTCTGCCGAATCGAATGATATGCGACATGACCTCTTTCGACCAACTTCGTGACCTGGGGGTGCTGACCTGACCTTGACCTGAGGTCAACACCCCAAGTTGACCTGACCCGGACAAAAAGTATATCATTCGACGCGCCTGAGCGAGGCGAACACGATGCTGCCAAAATCGGCGCTCTGCGGCCGTTTTTTGCGAAGTTATTCACCAAAAACTGAACCGTACCCTGGGGCACTTGACCTGACCTCAGAGGTCACCGGTTGACCTAGGACCTTAAAATCGGGTACCAATCTCTGCGTCTCGTAACGGCGCACACGCTCGTTTTTTCCGCGACGCGCTAGCTCCACCAGGGGCGAAACGGCGAGGGGGGGGGGTCGTACCCGCCCCCCCCCCTCGGCCGGCGCGTATGTAGAAAACCAATAGGTCCGGCGAGGGTTAAACCACATTGGAGTTTCAAACAAATAGGGTACATAAGAAATGTTGAGCTTTGGCATTCTATAAATGGTAAAACTCTCTACCGGGAGTTGTAAACTCGTTGTACTTCATATGAAGCGCTTATGTACACACTCAGATTATCCAGCCACCGGCTTCACCCATCTCTTGTCGTTTGACTGCCCCTCAGTCAATCTCCCCTCTCCACCCTCACACCGCCCCTGCAAATGACTCGAGTCACGCACACATCGACTCACCCACGGGCGAGTCTCGTACCGCCGCGGCGCCGGAGCCGACCGTGCACTCACCAGCGCCGCGCTGAAGTACGCCGGTCCGGCCAGGCTGCCGCAGAACATCTCTGACCGTCTCAAAACAACACACAACAGAACCAGACCCCGACAGAACAGGACAGAACAGAACCAGACCCGGACAGAACAGAACAGAACAGAACCAGACCCGGACAGAACAGGACAGAACAGAACCAGACCCGGACGCGCCGGCGGCGACACTGAATCGGCGAACCGTGACCATCCGCCCCCGCCCCCGCCCCCGCCCCCGCCCCCGCCGGCACCGATCCACTTGTAGTACCGCGGCGGCAGCGAGTTATAGGTGTTGGACACGGTATCGAATGGCTGAACTGGCACCCGGACCGACGTTCCACGAAATGGTCGAGAGTTCATGCTACATGATAATACAGCCGGGCTTCAAGTTGGTGACTGTGAGCGTGCTGCGACGATAAAAGCTTGCTGAAACATTTATTGGTATGACATATGACCTATCTTACACCGGTTTGTTTCGCCCTCAAAACGAGCGTCCCTCATGTTAAATAGCCTTTTAGATCTTTCAATTGTGTAGAAACGCACAAAAAATGTTCAAAACCAAGAGAAAATGTAGCTATTAAGAATTAAATCAGTCGTCGCTGAGAGTCGATTTTTCGATTACGACAGCGATGGAGAAACAGCATTGCTGAATGGCGCTAAAAACACAGTCTAGGGAACACAGTCAACATTCAACAGTGGATAGATACTGGATATGATCAATGTTGTTAGCTGCCTTTAAGAAAATCTAAGCGAACTTAATTCGTTTTCTAACAAAACATGCCGTGAGAAGGCGCACAGGACAGTGTCGCTGTTACCCAGTGCGCCCCGCCCCGCGTGCATGTGACCCAGCAAGTCTAGCGAGGACTCTGGGCCGAACTGATCGATGTGCACAGACCACCTGCCGAGAAGCCCTCAGCACCTGCATCAGCCGAGGAAGGCAGTGGGTCACACAAACAGCTCCTTTATACACGGATAGGTGGTTTTAAAAACGAGCAATGCCACCGTGTCCTGTAAAAGAACCTACTCGGTGAATATGTTAACAGCGGCAGGGTATTAGGTAAATAAATCGGCATGGGTGCATAATGCAATGCATCCAGAAGAAATTTACCACGTGAGCATCAATAAAAAGTAGTTTGCATTTAGCCATTGCTAATGTAAAAAGAAGATGAATATCAGGTCCCAGTCTACATTTTTGTGAATATTAAAAAAATGAGAGTTCAAGCGCTGTTGGAAAATGTTATTACAAGTTTGCAGCTTTCTCACTGTCTCCAGCGAACGACCGATCGTGCTGGTATGCCCGATCAACTGGTGAAGCTGATGTGCCGAGCGAGGTCGTCACTACCGCTGCCTGTGTGACCGGTTGGCGTAACCACCCGGCAGGAATGGGGGACGGACGCCCGGCCATACGGCCACGCTGCAGCCGAGCACAGGAATTGATTTCGGCTGGCAAAGTATCGTGAATTTCGGTGTATTAGAGCATTCTTGGACCAGCGGTGCAGCAAAATCACCCCTCATTGACGTGCATCGGCGTCAATGACGTCGCTAATCACACTGTCAATGGGTATAGTCCAATGACGTCGATGGAACTTCTTTGCCACATGAAAGGAGCTGTGATAGAAAATGAAACATGCTGCCAAGGAGGTGTTTCATTGGGAAGTCATAATAGTCCCTGAACACCGCGCCAAGGCAGTTGAGCCCTCGGACTAACTATGGCGGTGTGTCGCGCAGTATGCTGGGGATTGCCATCCGCACAGAGAATTACCTCAAACGTCATAAAACAGGGTTATTGAAGCGCACGCCATGGCGTCAGCGAGCATAGCAAGCATTCATAGCAACAGTCAAAGCATGTCTATGTATCGACTATTTACAGTGTCCGTATTTCAAACGGTAACCAATTCACAGATTCCAGGCACAGCCGCCATGGAAATGTGCCGCGGTTTGTGGTTTTAGCCTTGAAAACGACTCGACAATTTTAGGGAAAGTCAAAAACACGCAAGCAATGATGAGGCGATGTTCACAAACACTAAAAAAATCACAAACATTGCGCGCCCCCTGACCAGAATAAAATACCAGATACCGCTTACACCAGGGATGACACGCATCCCGTTTGGCATGGCGTTCCTCCCTACCCCGGCTCGGTGGCGGCGCAGGGTTAAGAGACAGAGACGCGACCGCGCGCGCTCCCCTCAGCCACCATACCCCTGCACGGTAGTCCATCTCCTCGGCATGTAGGCACAGCCATTCATTTGCAAATGAGCTTCCGAAAACGCCAAGTTTATCATCATACTCTGAATGCAATAACAAGTAATTGATGCAAATCGCGGCCGCCGCATGGGCTAGCGGAAAACTCCCTGGAACGGGGCTGGTGGTACGCGCCGAAATCGGAGGGCGCATCCCTGATATACTCTCTTGTAAAGATAAACGGAAGTTGTTTTTACAACATGAAAATGTAGGTAGCTATGTACAGAAAACAAATATTATAGAAGAAAGGTGTTGTAGTGGGCATGTTCTCGATAAAGTTTCCGACATTCCCAAAAACTGATTGCATGTGTCACTTTCACCTACATTGCTGTGAGTAGGATAGAATGTAACTATAGCTGTCTTACTCCAAAAGAAGCTTCAAAGTAAGAAACCCAGCAAAGCATTTATGTCACCATGCAAGGAGCACAACTGTCTTTGAACAAATATCTTTGCAGTTTTGCACGCCTCTCTAAA